CGAGTGCCATTCGTGCCTGATGTTCTCATGTAAACCCACCAGAGATCTCTGTCGACTGACTCACTGATCAATTGACACACCCTCCTCCTTCCCTAAACCCAACCAATAGTGTTTTCAAAAGCAATGATTGACCCACCCACCCACTTCCCTAAACCCAACTAACATTTTTAAAAAGCAATCCAGAAAAAGAAAAGCTTTCGTCTGATTTTTACGACATTTTACCAAATTCTCATTCTGTTATTTACTTGTTTATTTTATCTTTTGGCTTGTGTTTTAGTTTAACCGGCTTTCTGGGACTGTTCTTTGCTGGACTCAAACCTCATCGCCGCAGTCAACTCCTCTCTGCATCTCAAGTCCGCAGATGCTACTGGACAAACTGGTAACAGAGGGAAAGCCATCTATATGGAGGTAACAGGCTAGCTGGTAAGCGTGAAAAGGAACAACGTCATACCGGCCCGTAGCATTCGTTTTAAAGATGAAATGCAGCCATACATACTTCGGTCTACATCAGGGATGTCAAACTCAATTCCTGGAGGGCCACACCGAAGGCGGTGACAGCGTCAAAGTTCGCTCTGGCCGCCCTCACTACAACGCTGTCTGTCTTCACAGCTCCGGCGGCAAGACCATCAAAATTCTTGCAGCAAAATCAGTAACTTAAATTCCCGCGTGAAGAAACTTGATTTCTAGCATGAATATGTTGTGCGCCTTTTATTAAATGCATTTAACAATGAAAGACCAAGTTGCTGTGTGTGCTGTGGCTTTGCTCCACTTATCTAATATGTCCAAATGTCTGAAATATACTGAGGCAGCAATACTCGTTTGTTATAGTTAGCATGAGATTCCCAATTTAAAAAAACATAGATACCATAAATGCGCATTAATAATTTGCCAGTAACTTTTTTATTTGTGTCCCTTTAAGAAAACATTGTAAATAACTGGAAATCTGGCAACCGCAATATTCAAACCCTTGAGAACAACTGTGGTCGGATCCAAAGTTCACAGGGCTGTGTTCTCTAGAATCCTCTTTATTGGTGGACTTCTACATTCGGATTAGTTGCCGCCGAACTGCGTCATAACTCAATGCCATAAATTTAACTTGATTTCAGCTCTCCTTGATGCACACACTGGCGAAGACGCGCCACTCTATGCCACTTATCGCCGCAGCTCCCATTGGAAGTTTATTACTTCCGGCTACTTTGACGCTCTTTCCGCCTTCAGTGTGAAAGCACAGTAACACTACTTCATATTAAATGAAATTTATATTCTCAATGTTTTGGAGAAATACTAGAAAATATATTTTGTTTAGATTATTAGCATAAAAACCGAAGTTTAAGTGATTGTAAGTGTGTTTACTGGCTTTTCAAAACAAACTTCTCCTATACTTTAGAGTTTTTTGGTACCTTTTTCTGTCACAAATTAAGAAATGATCCTTACTACTTAATATTTTCTGCAAAACAATGGTCAAATATAAAAAAATACACAGTTTTCCAACAGTAAGTAGGGTAAAAATGGTTATAAAGTCCACATGAACTGAATTTGCTAAGACTTTTGTTTCAGTATGTTGATGTACTTCTAAATGAAAAAGAAGATTGAGTAGTAGGCGGTGCTTTCAATTTTGCACATCATAAGAGGGGCGTGGCTAAGAATATTGTTGCTGAAACAAATTGACAGGACCGATACTCCAAACCCAGAAGCAACTGCTCAGGCTTTGATTGAAGATTACCAAATAGGTTAACTGAATAAACTAAATTGGCCATAGTGTATGAGTTTGTGTTCGAATGAGACAGTGTATGGGTGTTTCCCAGTACTGGGTTGTGGCTGGAAGAAGTCCGCTGTGTAAAACATAAGCCAGAGTTGTTGTCGGTTTAGTCCATCGTGGCGGAATCAGGGATTAGAGCTGAAGGAGAATGAATGAATGAATGAATGAATGAATGAATGAATGAATGAATGAATTTTGATTTCACACAGACATTAAACAGGTGAAAGACAGCCAAACTAAACACTACTTCATGCATTTAAGACACTTGCTTTGACTTCAAATGCATTTATTATTGTGCCATAACTTGTTTTAATAACTGTTTTCGGGGCTTGTGCGTGTCAACCAGACACGCACACTTCCTCTGATCAGCATCTAAATGACTGTCTGTCACACTCAACTGCAGACTCTCGACTTACTGGGGGAAAACCTGATGAAAAAAAAAACTGCGCCACAAACCCTCAGTAATGGAGGTCTTTGTTTCGAGCTGCCGAGTTTATTTGCAGGAGATTTTTTATGCAAAGACATCAACATAACGCTGTGGGTTTACGTAAGCTAGGAGTTCCCCTGCGTCTGGACTTATTCAAGACTGACATTAGTATTGACAACTGGAACTGGAACGATTATGTCGACGGGTTACGATGCTGTAAAAGTTCCTTCGTAAATGTTTAGAGGGGAAACAGTTTGAAGAGAATGCGGAGTGACACGTTACAACTGGAAAATGTGTTTCAGAAAAAAAACTCTAAATTAATGTAGGAAAAATTGCCGTAATGGAGTTGAAATGGAGAGCAAATGGAGAAGGATTTTCTACTGTTGAACCAATCTCAAGAATCTACCTTCAGAAGATCACAAATTTTGCACCAAATGCTATCTAGACTGATTTTACAGACTCTTGCTCTGTCAATACTAGTCTCATTTCCATCTGTTTTAGGAGATATGAGGCTGATATACAGTTTCAGTCTGTTAAAACGAGTGTCTGCTCCTCTGGGTCTTGAACAAGTGGTCACACAAGATATACTTGATATTCTCCACAGGTTGCGTCTGACTTTTGTCTCTTTAAATTTTACTTCAGATAAGACACGGGGTTCTGAACAGAGCAGCATACTTGCAGTTTTTTGCAGGCTCTCTTAGCGGACTGCACGTCTTTCTGACCTCATTTCAATCTGTCATTGAAAAGCTATTTTTATAAGTCCACAGGAAGCCCAGTCACCCAGACGCTAGGAGAAGGAGGAGCCGCAATGACCACAGACTACAGTACATGATAAAAACACGAGGTGCCCTTGGAAGACCCACAAACATGCATTTAGCAGTCTGACTTGCTTTCTTCCATTGTGAGATGTTTAGAAGTTGGTTCGCGATGCATTAAGATGCAAATAGAACCAAAAGACTTCAAAAGTTGTGGAGATTCAGGCGGAACTGAACATTAGTGGAAGAAAACAACATTAATTTGCATCCTTTCCTTTATTTTCTCACAATATATGATGAAAAAGTAGATGATCAATTTAAAATTAGTTTTTTCTTTAACTATTTTTAAATTACAGATGGACAAACTCCATTTTCTTTGCATGAAAATTAGTTTTGAATGTGTTTTTTTGACCCAACTGTTTGGGATTAACTTATTTTCAAACATTTTTCTTACGAAAAGTCATTGCTTCTTTGCAAGGCATTCATTAACCCTATGGACTACCAGACAGATTACCTGTATGGTTGATGGATGTGCTTTCTGGAGCTTCAAAAACGTAACTAACCCTTTCATTCAGCCTTTTTGGTCACACTTTATTTTGATGGTCCGTTTGTTGAATTTAAGTTACATTGCACCTACATGCCAACCAATGCTTTTGCATGTTTGCATGTTCTCCTTGTGTTTGCGTGGGTTTTCCCCAGGCTCTCCGGTTTCCAAAGACCAAAAACATAACATAAGTAAATTGACAAAACTAAATCGACATCATAGACAAGCGTTGAATTCAGCATACACTCTCCATAGCTATGCACAATCTACATTTACCATTATCAAGTAGGGGAGTTCTCGAGACCTACCTGAACTCAGACTCCCCTCTCGCCCTCCAAAGTTTGTTTGGCTTCAGAGCACTCAGCACGAGTACTCTTCTAGTAAATTTAGCATCCCATATAGAATATAAATATATGTACTTATATCTAATATATTAGCTATATATGTGATATTTGGCTTCAATTATGCATTTATTGTGACTTAACTTGTCCAAACTGTTTGGCCTGTGCGTGTCAACCAGATCAGCCACTTCTTCTGATCAGTTTATATACATATTCATGTATGGCCATATAAGTAGTAGTATATACATAATATTGAAATATATATGTACATATTTGGATTTCCAATAGTTGAAAAAAATATGTAAATGGCCATTTTTGCAATATTTAAAAATACATGTTGGATACAGTGGGCGAAATAAGTATTCAACACGTCACCATTTTTCTCAGGAAACATATTTCTAAAGGTGCTGCTGACTTGAAATGTTCACCAGATGTTGATAACAACCAAAGAAACACAAATTTGCAAATAAAACAAATGTAATTAGTTAAAGAAATAAGTTATGCTTTATAAAATGAAATGATGCAGGAAAAAAAGTATTGAACACATGAAGAAAGGAAGGTGTAGAAAGGCAGTGAAAGCCCAGACAGCAGCTGAAATCTCTCAGTAGTTCTTCAGCAACCCTCTGCCCTTCCTCATTATAAATTAATATCAGATTTCTATATGGGATGCTATTTTTGTTAGCTTGCATGGGACAGTGCTGTGCCAACCTTATATTGAACATGTTTAATAAATTTATAAAAGCCCAACATGTTTGATACAACATTAGTGTGAGTAAATAAAGAAAAAAATCTTCTTTTTTTAGCTCAAACTTTCCCTCCTATTTTCTTTTTGTCCCGTTTGTTTGCCATCTGTCTGCTGTGTTGTTTGCTGTTCTCACAGTTCATGATGTGTTCGGACAGATATAGCCGTGTCGGTCCCTCAGACACAGCGACTTAAATCCAGACCCTCCTCTTCTGCCGGCCAGGGGAATTCCTGGCAGAGTGATTTTTAAACCTAATGACTGAATCACATTGCCAGGGATTTCCAATGGCTCGTGTGACTCAGAGACACGCCAGATATAAATACTCGGCAAACACACACACACCTGAACACATGAGAAGCTAATCCTAAAGGAATGCCGACTGTCTCGCACACTAGTTAGCGGTGTCAGGAATTCATGTGCACTTCTATGCGGGTTGTGTGGTGTCAGGACTTAACCCACTTGTGAACAATGCATCGAACTTCAATGTTCACAGTGGTTAAGTTCTGCCGCCCCTAGACCAGAATCAGCCAAGGATGAGACATGCTTATGTTTTACTTACATTCAATTGACCTAAATATATGCATACTCGTTGCATTTATAATAGTCTTGAACAATTGCACTACTTGAATCTTGTGGTTGCTCTATGAGGGTCATCTAGAAAACAACCTCTAAATGGCGCCTGTGGATGATAAATCAATCTCACGCTGTTATGACGGCTGTTTATCTCGCCAGTGATAATCTTCATCTTAGATGTTAAGCGCAATAAACAGCAAATAAACCGTATAGCTGAAAATAAACATCATTTTGGTGGTCCTCAAACAAATCCATCCAGGTGGTGGTCCACTAACTTCCTGCAATGTACATGAAATTCTAATAATGTTGGTGCTTTTTGTTATTAGTATTTATTTATGTGACTTAATCAGCTTGTGGAGTGTTTTGGTATCCTTCGTTGGCCACCAGTAGTAAACCACAGACCTAGCTCTAGCTGATAACTACACTTGACATTACAATGAAGGGACTGGTTGATATGAAGGCTGTTTTCAGACCGACAGAAGACGTCTAACGATAATGGCATGACCAAAAAAGATGCACATTTGAGATACTTTTGAGGTTTTATTTTCAGATGCTGGAGAAAGACATTGTAAATACCTTTTAAATATCTGCAACCGTTCATCCTCTTTGCTAAAAAATGTGTCCATTAAATAAAGGAAATCTGAAATTCAAGTTAAGTCTAGTTTAATTACTCTATAAAGCTCTTTAGAATTGGATTTAAGATTTTGATTTCACTAAATATGAAGCTACTAATGCTGCAAATTCAACAAATGGCCTTTTTCAGTTCTTTACAACCAATGAAATGTTTTCAAACTCGGATAATAATAATTATAATAACTTGGAACATTGTTTTTTGAGGTGTTTTTTTTTTTTTTTTTTAGTAAATGCTCTTCTCATTAGGAGGTTTGCTCAATAAAATTAGATTTATAGCCTCACAGTTGATGACTTGATAAATTGATACTGGCTGTTATTTGCATTGACTAATTAGGAAAATCTGAAAAAATATATCATTTGCATAATCATTTTCAACGTAGTGTAGTTGTAAGAGGCTACGTTATTGGTTCCCAAGTAATGATTGAAAATACTGATGTGTTTACGCAAAATGTGTGGTCATGGCAAAGACAAAGACTGGATTAAAATTGAATCTCTCTCTCAGGTCATGCAAGATGTAGATGACTTTTTCCTTCAGTAGAGGTTTAAAGTAGTTTCTAGCTGAAACCATGGGCTTTGGTCGTTTATAAAATGCGAGTCAACGTCTACCTGCACTTTGAAAGTAAAAAAAAAAAACATACACAGGCAAAACCAAAGTTAATACTCATGGTTTAATGTACCACCAGAGGCCAAAGTTTCAACTACAAAACTTTTTTAGTTGTTTTTTAGTTGTAAATTACTCTAATTATTTTGTCGAGGAAAGAAAAAAAGGCATGGCAAATTAAAGTTTTTATTATTTTTTTTACCTAAACCAAAAATTATTTTATTAAATAACACTTTTGAGCTTTGTTCATCTTCAGAACACAAATTACAATATTTTAGACGAAATCTGAGAGCTCTTTAATCCTACATAGACAGCAATGGTGCTGAGACAAAACATTGTCAAAACTGTGACTTCAAGACTATTCAAGAAATACTGGCATGTGTGACCTCTGTAGTTCAGCTGTAATTATACAACACTCCAAGATAACTTTTGTACACCAAAAAAACTAAAAACTATTTTAACAGTCCATGTGACCTCTGAAGTTCATCATACGAAGCTCCAAGAACACTTTTGTGCACCAAAAAAACAACATAAAAAAACTTAAACAGTCATGTGCGACCTCGGTAGTTCAGCTGTAATCATACGAAGCTCCAAGAGCTGTTTAGTGCACCAAGTGAAGCTCCAAGAACCCTTTTGTGCACCAACAAAACCCCAAAAAATACACTTAAACAGTCCAGGTGACTTTTGTAGTTCATCACACAAAGCTCCAAGAACACTTTTGTGCACCAAAACCCCCTTAAAATGACTTAAACAGTCATGTGTGACCTCTGTAGTTCAGCTGTAATCATACAAAGCTCCAAGAACACTTTTGTGCACCAAAAAACTAAAAACTATTTTAACATTTGACCTCTGAAGTTCATCATACGAAGCTCCAAGAACACTTTTGTGCACCAAAATAAACAACCTAAAAACAACTTAAACAGTCATGTGTGACCTCGGTAGTTCAGCTGTAATGATACGAAGCTCCAAGAACTGTTTAGTGCACCAACAAAACTCTGAAAATGACTTAAACAGTCCATGTGACCTTTGTAGTTCCTCATATGTAGCTCCAAGAACCATTTTATGCACCAACAAAACCCCTAAAAATACCCTTAAACAGTCCATATGACCACTGAAGTTCAACATACAAATCTTCAAAAACACTTTTGTGCACCAAAACTCCCCTAAAATGACTTAAACAGTCCATGTGACCTCTGTAGTTCAGCTGTAATCATACAAAGCTCCAAGAACAGTTGTGTGCACCAAAAAAAAAACCCTAAAAACGACTTAAACAGTCCATGTAACCTCTGTAGTTCCTCATATGAAGCTCCACGAACCCTTTTGTGCACCAACAAAACCCCTAAAAATACACTTAAACAGTCCATGTGACTTTTGTAGTTCATCATATGAAGTGCCAAGAACACTTTTGTGCACCAAAACAAAGCTAAAAACAACTTAAACAGTCATGTGTGACCTCTGTAGTCAGGGCCGGAGTGGGACTCCTTTTCAGCCCTGAAGTTTGAACCCTTGACCGGCCCACCTCAGTTCACGACTGACTATATTAAAATAACGTCATTTCCAATTTAGTTTCTAATGACATTATCACGACTTTTTCAAGAAAACAGCTGCTTTAGAACTTTAAATGTTTAACAACCCTATCAGTATTTTATGTCGTAACAATAAAAATATAAAAAATAAATAAATTAATCAGGTGAGGTTCGGACACGGGTCAGCGGTGTCGTAATGCAACATGCTGACCACTGGACCACATATGGTGCTGTTATGCTTGGATAAAAAAATAAATATTGCACTGTTATCTGCAAGACTCTTTTAACCACTGATCAAGTTATGTCAGATTTATTAATGTAGTGAATCGTCTGATTTTCATTGAGCAAGTGTAATATTCATTAATATTAATTATTTAAATTCTTATATTCACTAAGGTGCCGCTGTTTGGGGTCGAATGATGGGCTGCAAGAAAATAAATAAAAAGAGTGGAGCTGCGGCAAAATAATGATTAAAAAGAGTGAAGCTACAGTAGGTGAGAGTTCAAAGTGACTATTACCGCGGGGCCTTATACCGCCGCCGTTTGAAATAACTGCCACTCTGTTTTTAGTGTATGACAGCAGTTTGTGAAAAAGCCGCCAGGGGGGCGCAAAGGGACGGGATGCGAACGCACAGAAATAATCTTTATAGCAGCTTTAAATATGCTACTGTTCTTGTAAATGAGATTAAACAATAAGTCAAAGCATTATAATTCCATTATTAATCATTTAAAATTTGTTAACGCTTTATTTTAAACTTTTTAAGTGCAAAGAGGACTCGTTTTGGAAAATAGAATTGAAGACATAAAAGACAACTAACATGAAAGCACAAACATTTAGTACAAATAAGTAGTCATAAATAAATAAAGCAGTCTTTTAGCCTAAATATAGAGAGATGTTCAGTGTTTGCTATTTTGATAGGACTAAGACAAGGCATTTTCATTTATGTTTTTATTTCTGTTTTTATTTACAATTTTCGTTGTTGATTATATTTTACTATCTTATTTTATGTCTGAATTATTGTACATGATAATAAACGAATAATGAAAATAGGCCTAAATAAATAATTTATTTAAAGATATTGCGCGAAACACTGAGAAACGGTCAGGGGCATGGTCAAATAAATAAATAAATGAAAAAAGTGCGACTGCTAAGATTGCAAGCAGCTAGGGACACCAGCCCTTGTGGCCAAAAAATTATTTACAATCTTAAAAGGTGTTTTTAGACGTCACATGCAATGTTTTGCAAATTGTTTTGGACTTTGAATGCCCCTGCACCATTGGTGTCTGTATGGAGGATGAGAGAGCTCTCTGATTTAATCTAAAATAGCTTCATTTTTGTTCTCAAAGGTCTCAGAGGATTGGAACCATATTACAGTAATTGATAATCCGATTTTAATTGTGTGAACTAACCCTTTAACAGCAAATTTTCAGTTTTGGTTGAACTCTACTTTTAATATCAAAGTTTACCTACAAGACAGTCTCTAGGTGACCACATGTGTCCGAACTGAATCTGAACTTCGGTTTGCCCAGTTTTAACAAATGCGCCACACAAAAGCCCAATTTATGGCAGAGCAGCCATTCGGAAACTGTTTGTATCCAAGGCCCAAACGATGCACTAAATACAAAACAATGGAAAAAAAAATGGCCCAGTGAGTCACCTTTTACCGTATGTCCTGCATCCAGGCTGGTTTATCTTACGAGAAAGCCAAAGGATGCCTGCAGCCCGCAATGTTTGGTGCCAGCTGCGCGACATGGTGGGGGATCTGTGATCTCACACAAATCCTTAGGTAATTGGTCTGGAGGATCATGTAACAGCCACTCTAGTCACGAAAGCCAGTTTATCATGATGTTCCCATATACGGCTACAGTTCATAAGAGATTTCTGAATGGCACAATCGCCAAATTTCAAATCAAACGTTTGTGTGATGAAATAAAATGAAAGGAGTAAAAGCACACACCTCTGAACCAAAGATGAAGAACGTAAAATTTGTCACTCAAACATAACTGAAAACTTGTGAAGGATTAATTAGCTTTATTAAGCCGATTATGTGTTTTTGTATGGAGCCAGATCAGTCTTAAAAATAATACATTTACAAAAT